CAGCTCATCGCCCTTCAGGTGATCGTGAGAGGTGGGGGTGTAGCTCAGGCGGTAGTGATCTTACTTAGTATGCATGAAACCTGGGTTCCATCTCTGGTACGGCATAAACTGGGCATGATAAAGGCAGACACGGAAGCCCAACACTTGAAGGTAGAATCAGGGACATCAGAAGTTCAAGGTCATGTCTGGCTACATAGTTCAAGGCCAGCCTGGGACACATAAGACCCTCTCCTCAGAACTCTTATCCTGAGCCCATGTAAGAGCAGAGACATCTTGACCTCTGTACACAGAGGGTGACCTCTGTCCATCGAGTGACACCAACGCTTCCCTGTTCACCACTGCACAAAAGCACGGCTTAGAGAAGGGCTGTAGGTCCAAAGTCACCTGACAGGACAGGCACAGGTGCAGGTGTTACAGCCAGAGACCCCACAACACGATGGGAGTCTTTCTGAGTGACGTCATGGCCTTAAGCCTCCGAACGCCCTTACTTGCCCATGTTAGCCACCGGATCTCTTTGTTTTGTCACTGTCTTTTCTTTGCCGGCGGAGCCGAGAGTAGGGGGGAGGATGCTGCAGGGTCCTCTGCTCAGGTTCACAAGGTTTCATTTGTCATCATGTGTCTGCTGCCTGGCAGGTGGAAGGAGTTCCATACATACAGCTGAGAAAGTAAATCCCTGACTTAGCGTGGGAAAGGATGAACAGCAGGGTTAGGAGGTGCCTAACCAGAGAGGCTGGCTATCCAGAGAGATGCAGAGACTTAAAACAACAACAACGACAAAAACACCCGTTACACAGTAGACCCTCAAAAATACTCAGTGAATCATCAAATCCTGCACAGGAAGATGTTATAGGCGTTGGCAGTCTTCCTGGAAAATTTCTAACTATACGTCTCATTCTGACCACTAATTTAAATTGTTCAGCTAGTACACACATCCATTTGATCCTTCCTCCCTTCACTCATTCATTCAGTAACTCAGACAATGGTGACTGATAACACGCGATACGCCAGACGTTGTGGTGAGTGCCATGGATTCAGAAACAAAACGCCGGAGTCTAGTCAAGGGTCAGAAAACTCATAGCAACCATACTCCGTAGGCCATAAAAACCACAGACATAGGGTGCTTAGTAGGGGGGTGGACTGAATGTGGGCATGAGAGGAAAATAAGGCTGTAATGGGTAATTGGGGAGAAGCTGAATGGAGGTATCCAGGCAGAGACAAAAGCACACCCAGACATAGGTGGGCGACAGAGTGACCTCACCGTGAGGGCAGCAGCACAGGTACCGTTGGGAAGTCGGGTGGTGAGAGGGGAGGCTGGCAGGGTGTTATGGGGCAGGCTCTGAGAGAGTCACCTGCCCTCCCTGCAGGCAGGACCTGGCAAGATTTATTATACGTGTCACCTACCCAGGAACATGAATGAAGCACAGACTCAGTCTAGTGAAGGGATGGAGGCTTGCATTGCTAAGGGGTCCTTAAGTAATGCCTAATACAAATGGTCCCTGGTGTCCCTTAGGTAGGAGAGCTGTGGGCATAGGAGTGTGTATATTAGACACAGCTCAGGAGGGGCACCACAAAAATCACAATTACATTTTTCCAAGCACTCTATAGCAGGATATGGGGCGTGGATGGAGAAAGGCAATACCAAAGTTAAGTACACAGTGGCAGATGTAAATAAATAAATAAATAAATAAATAAATAAATAAATAAATGAGAGTGTCTAAACCAAGTAAGCTAGAGGGAAGAGTTCAGCATGCTGGCTGATAGTCTTTGAAGTCAGAGCAAGGACCTCTCCTCCAGGAAAGGCTGGTTACGAGGCAGACAGGAAACTATAAGGCATAAGCACACACCACTCAACTCAGAACTCTGGGAACTGAATCTGCCTCACCTTTCTCTGGGTCTCAGCTGCATCATCTTGAACCCCACTAGCATCTAGCCAAGGCGGCCAGGTAAAGAACCAGAATCATGCCTGCAAAAGGATTTCCATGCCAAACAGGTAAAGCCAGGCTTTGTAGCTATCACTGGATACCTATTTAAGGAAATCTCAGGAAGAGCAAGAAAGTTCTGGAAAGGAAACACAGATGTCCACCAAATCCACGAACAACATGCCTGTTTAAAAAATAAAATAAAGATCATGGTTTTGTAAGCAAGAAACACCTATACTGTTGCTAGCATCTTCTCTATCTACCTTGATATATTTCTAAATTGAAAACTAATTAAAACAATCGTGGTAAAGGTCTGCACAGCAGGGAAAAGGCAAGTCAGAGTATAAATATTTCCCCCGTCACCACACAGAAGCCAAAACATACACCCCCTAAAGAGATGTTCCTCCAAAGAAAACAAGAGTCAGGCTTTGTGTTTCATGTACTATGCTCTAGCCAAAAACACACGAACTCAAAACAACCAACCAGAGTACCCTCTGCCTGCCACTATTTACCCACACAATCTTGTAACCCAGGAGGCATACAAGTTGAGCACTGACAGCCACCACAGAGTTCAGGGACCGTAGACACTGTCCCTCTGCTTTAGAAGAGGTAGCCTCACACCCAAGGAGACAAAAAACAAAAACAAAAAACCACACAGGCACCTACCTTTCTATTCAGCAGTGGGCAGCCTCTTCACATTTACTCCTAGAAGGAAGATCTGCCCCAAGACCTCTGAGGTGTGGTGAAACTTATGAGCGGTCCACTCATTCAGGCAACCAGAGGAGGGTAGAGTTTCTCCAGATCAGACTTCGATGCTCCCAGGCTCACACAGGCTTCCAGACCTCAGGGCAGAGGTGAACTGTGGGCTGTCCCTCAGTGCAGGAAGAAACTGGGAGGCACCGTGCGGCTGGAGGTGGGGGCGGAGGCTGAGGAAGGGAAGTAATCTGGGGACTGCAATAAATGAGAAATTCTCTCCACATGATTTCCTGTGTTTGGTGCCTCTTGCCTCTCTCAGGCTCCCCAGAGGAAACCAGAAATTTAAACTTGTCCTTTGGCCACTGAGAGAGGAGAGAATAAACATGCTAAGTACCATGAAAATACGGAGAAGCAGGCAGCAGGCAGCGGGCAGGGAGCTCATAGGCCAGCTACCTTTATCTTTAACCAAGTCCTTTCTGTCTGAAGTTTCTCCAAGTGTTTAACTTTGCAAAAGTCAAGGATGCCTTCGTCCTCTTCCACGCAGCTCCTGGCCATGGTCCAGACGTTGTATGGCAGAGCAGCCAGGGAGAAGTACGTCAGCACGGGCTCAGGAAGTGGGTCTCCCTGCCCTCAGGAGAGACTAGCACTGCTCTGTTTATGGACAGGCTCGTGACAGCCTTTACTAATGATGGGGGGGAGGGGCTCTCTTAATAATTCTCAAGCCATTCTTGAAGAGTTATTGGCATTCTGCGCCCCATAGATTGCGGCAAGCAGGACCCCTCTCCACGTGAAGTGTGAGGCTCATGGTAAGCTGAAAAAGAAGGGGGTTCATTCAAAAGTGTAAAACTTCAAGATGGCGGCAACAGAGCCCTCAGCCAAGGACAGGGAGAGAGGCCTCTGTGAGCACAGCTTCAGGATGACTAGAGTAATCCACCAAGCTGGTCCCAGTTATAGGAAGATGCTGGGACTTCTAAATGAGTTGACTTCAGGAGACTTAGACTCCCCTATTTTGCTTTATGGGGTGAAGTATATTAGAAGCCTGGAAGGAAATGCTGAACTGGGTGTGTGAAGAGATACATGTAGTCAGATCTTTCTTTGGGCTCATAAATAATGACATGGAGAATTCTTATTAATTATGAAAGCTCTGCCTGTAGCTTCAGTTTGTTCCTAACTAGATCTTATAACTTAAATTAGCTGATTTATATTAATCTACATTCTATTACCTCTCTTCTATCTTGCACCTCCTGTTTCCTCTCCATGTCTGCCTGGCAACACCACCTTTCTTTTTTCCCAGAGTCCTCTCTGTTCCCGGAAGTCCTGCCTACCCTCTTCCTGCCTAGTTATAAGCCATTTGGCTCTTTATTAAACCAATCACAGTGACATGTCTTCACATAGTATGTAAATGTCACACAACAGATAACAGACTACAAAGTGTCAGTTAAAATCACACCTGTTGACTCCTTGCCAACACCTTGGCCTCTTCTCCCACTACCTGGGAAACTGCCCTAAAAACGGTCTCTGTGATCTGTTTCCCCTGACTAAATCTCATACTGCCTTAAGAAGAAAAGCCAAACATTTCACCATGACATAGAACAACATCTCCTGATTTACCTCAAGTTTCCCTTCTGTATGCCCTGTTTAATCCTTCTTCTCATTCCCTCCTTTCCTGCCTCTCTTCACTTCTGGGAACTATTCTACACAGAATGCAGAGTCCTTGCTCAGTGTCCTTTGACTCTCACCCAGCCCCTGCTATTGTTACCTACAAACTATGTTTGCTTCCCTCACAACACTCCAAGCCAGGAAACCTGTCCTCCTACCCCCTGCCTCTGTCACTCACTGAGGTATGGACCATATCTCCAGGACACATAACTCAGAAATATTTGATAGCTATAAGTGGAGAGCCACTGGGAAGAATGTGTATAAATTACCATTCTTTAGGATCTTTAGGAGGAAGAGAAAATGCATGACTCAGAAAGCCCACATTGCTGCTAAGGTTTCACAGCTCAAACTCTGGCAGATGGACTGCAGTACCTTCATAGGAAACATAACTGTTATTTCATGTTTACTAAAATGCCATAGTTTGTCATGTCCTTAAAAAATGTGAGTAGGTGATGGCCACTATTCAAAAATTGAGTTAGATATGCTGGGGCTGGAGAGATGGCTCAGTAGTTAAGAGCACTGGCTGCTCTTCCAGAGGACACGGGTTCAACTCCCACCACCCACATGTTGGCTCACAATGGCTTGTAACTACAAGTGCCAAGGAATTTGACACCCTCTTCTGGCCTCTGTGGAGACCAGGCATAGGCATGAGACACAAGCATGCAGGCAGGCAAGACACCCACACCGACAGAAATAATCAAATAAAATGTTTAAGTTAGCTCTGCCTCTCAGTGAAGGGATATTCACTTTCCACCCCCAATCCAGTTCACCTGGCAAGGTGAACACATTTGATCTGGCTTGGGGAGAAGAGTAAAATTTATTCCAGAAGAAATTGTCTTGGGATTATCCCAATTTTCATGCAAAGAAAAAGGAAGTATCAGCATTTCTTGAAACACAAGCTCAACCACTTTTTTCCAGGTCTGTGGAAAGAGAAAGATGCTTTAAAACGGGGTTCACGCTTTGAGGACTGCGGGGGAGACTTTCCTGTAACTTAGCTTTCAAAAAGGAAAAGGTTATAGAGCCAGAGAGGCTAAGAACACGCGCTGTCTCCCTGAGTGCCGAGTTTGGTTCACAGCACCCGCATGGGGTGGCTCCCGACCACTTGTAACTCTAGTTCCATGATCTTCTGACCTCCTCAGGTACCTGCACGCGTGTGTACGTAAATGAAAGTCAATGTAAACCTTTAAAATGTTTAGATGTGCTCAGAAGGAAGGGGCCTAAAGTTAGTAAGGGTGAGGGGAAGCACAGGTCACCGAGACACAGGGAGAGAAGGTGAGAGGAGGAAATGGCAGGTGGGAGGCTGGGAGAGCAAGGAGAGAAGGGTGGATAGGCAAAGGAAGGGAGGCGGGACGAAGATGGGAAGACGGGAAGAAGCAAGGGGTGAGCAGAGGTCAGATGGAAAGCATCAAGACAGGAGGCAGGAAGCTAGGGGCACACACAGTCACACAGCAGCATTTCCTGGAAGGGCAGCATCAGGGCAGCCTCTCTGTGTTTCCAGCTTGACTTCTTCCTCTCTCCTGTCTCCACCAGGCAGAGGGAGACACTGGAACACAGCTCGGTGGTGGCTGCCACTGGAGCCTAGAATTAGCCTCTGCATTGTTCTTGGACTCCGAGGCAGTATTAAAGCCACACAATCATTTGTCATTTAATGGTTTAGAACATGTCCACCACAGTCACCACTGGAATGTCTAAGCAAGCATTCGGGTCTCTTCCCATGGCACTCCAGAATCAAGTGGTCACATTGTCTGTTTACAAAGGCTGTTCTTAGCCTAGAAGCGCCACTTGGGGGCTGCCTGCATGGGTGAAGGCAATGGGGTCACGTGCACTCGGAGTAGCCAGTTTTGTGCTCAGAACTGGAAGTTTTTAAAGATTTTTTTTATTTGTGCTGGGGGGAGTGCACATGTTGGGAGCCTTGCTGGAGAGGCCAAAAGAGGGGTCAGATTCCCTGGAGCTGGAATTACAGGCTGTCGTGAGCCCTCCAATGTGGATGCTAGGACCTACATTTGGGTCCTCTGGAAGAGCAGCAAGCCCTCTGATATTCTGGGCACCTTTCCAGCCCCATACGCACATATCTAAAATAAAGCAAAGGTATTAATCGAGTTATTTGCATTTTTCTTAGCAACTCACAGTTTGGGTCCTAGTTAGTGGGTAGGGAAAGACAGTGGAAGACAAGACATTACAATGGGGCAAACCAAGGATCATCCTGTCAGCGGAGTGCTGAGTGGCAGCTCAGAGACCTTTCAGTGAGGGGGCGTGACTCCATAGGGGCCTATCGCTCTCATTAGCTTTGGTCATTGTATAATTATTCTTATAGAAACTAGTGGTACAGTACAGGATTCTCATTTTAGAAATGGAAATTCATTTTTGTTTGGTGGAGTACAATGTAATTGATGTCCCCTCTGTATTAACACTTAGTCTGCGCGTTATATTTTCCTTTATTATAGGTATTACCCAGTTGTGCATGTAATAGCAAATGCAGTTCCGCCTTTATGACCATCTATGTATAAATACGGCTTTTCTTCAGATTTCCCTTGGGACAAATGTAAATGCCTTACATCCCACTTTATAAACACATGAGCTAGAGGCAACCTCTGTTGTGTATTTATTTCATATTAAGGTAAGTATTACGATTTTTGCCATTTTGAAAATGATCCTTGGAAAGAAGGGAGATGTAAACATTGCCGACATTGTGTTGTTTCGACAATTTCCAATGGCGGGCTCTTTCCTTAAGAGTTATGACTAGTTCCTGATGGTCTCCGACTATCCAAAATAAAAGCAGAAGAACAAACAAAGCATGTTGATTGTTAAAATGAGGAGAGGTTAAGTGGCCAAATGGGGACACCTAGCTCTCACCTGCTCCGGCACAGAGCAGAACCAAAGCAACAGGTGTATGGGGACACTTTGAGGTCAGTAACTGTGGGCAAGGCCTGGAGATTAGCGAGAGAGACTGGAACCTTGCAAGGTGCCGAGAGCTGAGACAGTGACAGGGAACCAACAGAAACACCCAGCGTATGCCGCTGTGGCTCCTCAACCCTGAGAGTCTCTCTTGTGCAGGCATGTAGAGAATTCCAGCAAGTTCTACTAGGAAGCATCATAATCTCCCCAGGCTTATAAGCCACTACATAAGTAACCTGACAGCACAGGGTCTCAAATCATCATCTCCCAGTGAACCCTCAGGGTGCTGTGACAAGGACTGATCTCCCCTCCCCAACCCTTTTGATTTTATGTGCATGGGTGTTATGCCTGAATGTATGGCTTTGCACTAAGTGGATGCAGTGCCCGCAGAGACCAGAAGAGGGCATTGGATTCCCTGGGACAAGTCACAGATGGTTGTGAGCTGCTATGTGGGTGTAAGAAATTGAACCTAGGTCCTCTTGCAAGAGTAACCAGTGCTCTCTCTCTTTCTTAAGACATGGTTTCACTGTATAGCCTTGGCTGCCCTGGAACTCACTCTGTAGACCAGGCTTGTCTCAACCTCACTGAGATACACTTATCTCTGCCTTCCAAATCCTGGAATTAAAGGCATGTGTAACCACCACCCGAGCTCTTAACTGCTGAGCCATTTCTCTAGCCCCATAATGAACTATCTTGAAAAGAGAGGCAAGAGAGACTAGATAGATTCAAAGCTGAATTCATAAGATTTTTTTTCAGTGCTTAGGAATGAGCCCCAAGGTCATGAACATTCAGGAAAACACTGTCAACTAAGCCACAGCACCAGCTTTCACTACTGGATTTTGCCAAACATTTAAAGAAGTTGATCCCAGTTCTCCTCAGGCCATTCCATAAAACTGAGGGAAACTAAACTCTTCCAAATTTGTTGTGAGGCCAACATCACCGTGCTACTAAAACTACACAAGGACACAACAACAACAAACTATATACCAATATCCCTGATGAGCATTCTCAAGCAAGATGCAAATCAAACTGAACAGTGAGTGTATAAAAATGTCTTTCATCATGGTCAAGTTGGTGTCTTTCCAGGCATGCAAGGAGGGTGAAACACATGCAAATCAATAAGTGTAGCAATATATCAAAACAACAGATAAAGATTACGGTGTTCTCAATTATGTCAAATATCACTCTACAAACCCAGCATCAGGAGTCTGAGGCAGTGACTCAAGGCATGCTGTGCAAGTGTAAGGACTTGAGTTTGGATTCCCAGGAGCCAAGTAAAAAGTTGGCCGTGGTGGTTGGTATATGCTTGTTATGGCAGAAGTGGTCGATCCTGGGGTCTTGCTGGCTAGCCATCCTAGCTAACTCTTAGTTGACAGTGACTACCTGAAAAAATTGGGGAAAGTGAGAGAGGATGGCACATGACATGGACCTGTGTCCTCCAAGTGAACACACATGGAATTCACACTTGCACACACATGTTCAACAGGTCCCCATACATGTTATGATTTAAGTCCTGAAATCAGTATAGGAGTTCTTCAACAGAGAAAACTATAAATGTTGAATCCATAGCCAGCAAGGTAGCAGTGAAGAAAAGATCATTTCTTCTGGGATTAGTGGTGACAGAGGGATTTCCATTCCTGACACCTTTATTCAACACAGTACTAGACTATTTAGCCAGAGCAATTTGGCAAGGGACTGAAATTAAAACTATACAGTTAAAGAAGACATCAAATTATCCTACAACCACCTTCATCAAAACTTCCACCAAAAGAGTACTAATTCAGTAAAGTTAAAGGATATAAAATCAATACACAGAATCCAATAGCTTTTCTACATATTGATAGTGAATTTACTGAGAAAGAAATCATTAAATCAATTCCATTTGCAACAAATACAAAAAATTAAATAAAACACTAAGAATAAATGTAACCCAGGAAAGACCTCTATAATAGAAATCCTGAAACACCGAAAAAGGAAATTGCAAACCAAAAACCCCATGTTTCTAGATCAGAAGAATCAATACTGTTAGAATGTCCTTAGTCAAGGTTGTCTACAATTTTGTTGCAGGGCTTTAGTTTACAAACCCTAAAACTCACAGAGAAGCACAAAAGACTCTGAATGACCACAGCAATCTTGAACAAAAAGAACAAAACTGTAAGCACCCTGACATCTGGATTCAGGACATACTACAGAGCCACCGTGGCGAGAACAGCATGGCATTGGGCACAGAGGCAGACACAGATCAGTAGAACAATGATAAACTCAGGAATGAGTGTGCCAATCCTTGGTCAGCTGGCTCTTTTATTTTTGTTAATTTGTATTTTTAAATTTAAATTTAAATTAGAAACAAGGTTACTTCACATGTCAATCCCAGGTCCCTCTCCCTTTCCCTCCCATCCTCCCACCAAGACTCCCCAATACCCCCTCATTTCCCCAGGGAGGGTGAGGCCCTCCATGGAGGTGTCCACAGTCTGTTATTTCATCCAGGGCAGGGCCTAGACCCTCAAGAGTCCAGGGTGAGAGTGCATCTCTCATTGTTGGATGGGCACCCAAAGTCCATTTGTATGCCAGGGATTCAAGAGCTAACCCTTGTCAGTTCAGCCTAGTCTTAACCCCTTTGGTCATCAGTCCTCCCTCTCTGTCACTGGGTTCCTTGAGTTCAGCTCAGTGTTTAGCTGTGGGAGTCTGCCTCTGCTTCCATCAGCCATTGAATGAAGGTTCTGTTCCCCAGACTCTCTGGCTGTGGGATTGTAGGCTGGCACTCCCCAGATCTATGTCTAAAATCCATATATGAGAGAGTACATACCATGTTTGTCTTTTTGTGACTGGGTTACCTCACTCAAGATGGTTTCTTCTAGTGTCATCCAATTGCCTGCAAATTTCAGGATTCCATTATGTTTTTTATTACTCCATTGTGTAAATGTACCACATTTTCTCTATCCACTCTTC